TATTGTTCCTATTTTTCCTTATTTATATAAACGTAATAAAATTTTGTTTAAAAAAATAGAATTCACATTGGAGAAAAAACATATACATGTTTTGTATTTGTGTGGAAAGAGCTTCAGTGGGAGGGGAAGTCTTTCTAAGCATCAAAGAATCCACACATGACGAAAAACCACGTGAGCTTACAAGCAGCTCAAAAACCACCTAATAACCCACATGGGAGAGAAACAGAAATGGATTAATCGTGGCTAATACGCAGCCAAACGTAGCCAGCAAACTCAGGGCAGCCCTGGATGACAAGCACAATGGTTTCTCTGGTACTAAGAGCCTATTTATGGTAGAGTTAATTAGGATCCAATAAGGGACAGATGTGGATATTTACTCTTTATTGTCATTCACCATGTGAACATATACTGTATTATCAGCCCAATCCTTCAAGGATATGCAGACTTGGGAACAGAACCATTTTACTATTTCTTTTATTATGATGGTTTAATGTTCTAACTTGCCCCTCCCCGTTCCTCTCCCCTTCCCTTCCCCGTTCCTTTCTCCCACACCCTCCCTCTCCTCCCCATTGCTGTCCCTCTGTCTCTTCCCCTCATTTTCCCTTCCCCTTCCACCTCGCTCTTTCCCATCATCCCCTTCCTCTTTCCAACTTTCTAATGGTCTATCTCCCCCTCCCTTGCTCTTTTAACCCCTCCCATCACCTTCACTCTTTCTCTTAATTTTATATCTCCACTCCCCTCTCCCTTGTTCCCATCCAACACCTCACCTCACCTCCTCTTCCCCTCCTTCCCTTTTTTTCTTCCCCACCCTGTCCACCTCTCAGTCTGTCCCTCTCTCCCCTTCCCTTCCCTCTCCCCAAATCCCTCATGGTCATCTTCCCCTCCCTATAAACCTTCCCACTCTTCATCCCACTCACCCTCCCCATCCTCCTTCCCTTCTCCCCTCCCTCTCTCCACCTTGTCCTCCCCTTCCTTCCTCTCCCTTTGCCCCCTGCCTATTCCCCTCCCTGCCCCCTCTGTCCCATTCCCCTCCTGTCCCCCCTCCCTAACTCTCCCCCTGATCTGACTCTCACCCTCACCCTGCCTTTCACTTCACCCTCACCCTAATCCCACCCCAAACTCTCACCCTCACCACCATCTACCTCCCTGATAGTCGGTTATCAAAAGAGGGAAGGCTGCCCAGAGTCCAGGGGCCCTTCTGAACACTAACTCACCACTTAGGAGCCCCCTTCCCTCTGGTAACTGACATAACTGACAGTTTGGCCTGCAGGGATGATGAGGTCACAAAGCCCTCAGGATTCCCCAGGAGATGACCGGCCTCCTTTGCCATCCTATCCCAGCTCAGCTGGATCTTGCCAGTCAAGGGTGGGTCCCTGCCAGGGACAAGCTGGCTGGAGGCTAAGAGGCCAACAGAAAGGGGAACACCCAAAGCTGAAATTAAGCAGGGAAAGCTCTCTTAGGCAGAGGTTCTCGAACTCGGAGTCATGCTCCCTGGGGAGAAATGAACAAATGGAGGAGTGAAACAAACTGGGGGAGGGCTTGCCCCTTAAAAATGGATTTATGTAAGAATCGTCTCCATTTCTTTCTGAACAACTGGGTGGTGATGGTGTGTATTTGTAGCCTCCAAACTCGGACATTGCAAATTTGGCTTGGAGCTGATAAGAATTTGATCCCTGAACTTGAGAGAAATNCGGGAATCCCCAGAGAATCCAGGAGGGAGGAGAGAAATATGAATGCCCGGAATGTGGAAGATCCTTCAAAAGAAATGGAGATCTTAAAAAGCATCTAAGAATCCACACTGGAGAGAAACCTTATACATGCCTGGAGTGTGGAAAGAGCTTCAGTCAGAGGGGAAACCTTTATACACATGAAAAGATCCATTCAGGAGAAAAACCATACAAATGCCTAGAATGTGGAAAGAGCTTTACTGTGAGTGGAGCTCTACGTCAACATCAAAGAATCCACACTGGAGAAAAACCACATAAGTGCCTGGAGTGTGGAAAGAGCTTCAGTCTGACAGGACACCTTTATAGGCATCAAAGGATCCACACTGGAGAGAAACCTTATAAATGTTTGGAATGTGGAAAGAGCTTCAGTCTGACAGGACACCTTTATAGGCATCAAAGGATTCATATTGGAGAGAAACCATACAAATGTCTGGAGTGTGGAAAGGCCTTCAGTCGGAGGGAAACTTTTTATAAACATCAAAGAATCCACACAGGAGAGAAACAGCCTAAAAGCCTGGAGTGTGGAAACAGCTTCAGTCAGAGGCAAAGCTTTTATATACATCAAAGAATCTGCTTAGAAGAGAAAACCTATAAATGCATGGAATGTGGAAAGAGCTTCAGTGGGAGGGTAAACCTTTATACACATCAAAGGATCCACACTGGAGAAAAACCGCATAAATGCCTGGAGTGTGGAAAGAGCTTCAGTCTGAGGGGAAACCTTTATACACATCAAAGGATCCACTCAGGAGAGAAACCGCATAAATGCCTGGAGTGTGGAAAGAGCTTCATTCACAGGGGACACCTTCATACACATCAAAGGATCCACTCAGGAGAGAAACCGCATAAGTGCCTGGAGTGTGGAAAGAGCTTCAGTCAGAGGGGACACCTTTATACACATCAAAGGATCCACTCAGGAGAGAAACCGCATAAATGCCTGGAGTGTGGAAAGAGTTTCACTCAGAGGGGAGACCTTTATAGACATCAAAGGATCCACTCAGGAGAAAAACCATATAAATGCCTGGAGTGTGGAAAGAGCTTCAGTGGGAGGGGAAGTCTTTCTAAGCATCAAAGAATCCACACATGAGGAAAAACCATATAAATACCTGGCAAAGACTGGCAAAAACTTTGGGATAAAAATATTAAGCTTACAAAAATGGTAGCATATAAAGAAAACTTACATAAGGTGTTTTATAGATGGCATATGACACCAGTGCACTTAGCGAAAATGTTTAAAAATGTTTCGGATATTTGCTGGAGATGTAAACAACAGCCAGGCACTTATTACCATGCCTGGTGGACATGCTCTATCGCTAAGAAATATTGGTCTAAGATCCATAGATGGTTGGAAAAGATGATGAAACTACAGATAGAATTTAAACCGGAATTGTTTTTGTTAGGAATATTAAGACCTAATTATGATAAAGAGAATGACTATTTGATATTGCATGTTTTAACAGCTGCAAGGATAGTATTTGCCCAATTTTGGAAAAATGAGAATTTACCATCTGACCAGACTATAATTACTAAAATTTTAGAGTGTGCAGAAATGGATAGACTAACATTAGAAATGAAAGAAAAAGATGATTCAATTTATTTTAGAACTTGGGAAAAAATTATCAATGGTTAGAGCAGTGTTTCTCAACCTTGACAATTTTAAGGCATGTGGACTTCAACTCCCAGAATTCAACAGCCAGCAATGCTTAAAATTCCACATGCCTTAAAATTGTCAAGGTTGAGATACACTGGGTTAGAGACACATTAGAACTTGAAGGATTCAATATTTTAGAATAGATGACTGATTTTTAATCGAGTTCTTTGATGATATGATTATTTTTCTTGATTTGCTGATTTTCATTTGTTACTTTTGATTGGTAGGAATTTTTGAGATTTTATTAGTGTTTACTTAATAATTCAACGTATTTGTTTATTAACTGTTTTTAATATGTTATAGTCTAAGCTTCGGCAAAAATGGTTGAATATGATATTTACTCATTATTATGATCCGGACGGTAGCTCGTTTGTTGAAATATGTGATTGTACTTCTCCTTATTTTACCCTAAATCCTTTATCCCCTTCCCCTTTCCTCCCACCCCCTCCCTTTACCATACCT